CTTGAACAGCTCCTTGGAGAGCGGGTTTTGAAGAATATTGGGACTCTTGTGCTTCCCGTAAGTCGACCGTAAATGTTCTTCAAGGATGCCTAGATCTGCATCTTCCGCCTCCTGTCCCCCGCCTTATGTCCGAGCAGGGCTGTCGAGGATCAGGGCGGCTTTTTGCTTCTCTTCTCGCGTCCTCCCCCTCGATCCCTCAGGAGGGTCTTCCTTCGTTTTCAGTAGTTGGAGGATTTGCGACAGGCTGTCTTGCATGCTCGCGATTTGCATGCCTTGACTTTTGACTATCTCTTCGAACTCCGATTCATCTTCGACTCTCGGTGATAGACCTCGGAGGGTGTTGTTCTCGGTCATTCCTTTGAGAGGAGTTTCGAAGTCGTCTCCCATCTTTTCCTGGTGACGAAGTCGTGAGGCCCCAAGGTGGGCGCCAAAATGTTTATGCCTGGTATGTACCGGGCGGTTTTGTGAGGCTTCACTGGCTTCGCGCGGTCTCGGGTGGATGAGAGACGGCCCGCGTAATCCTGCAAGCAAAGGTCCACAGGGGGTGCCCTGGGACCTCCTCCGATGCCTAAGTTAGAGAGAGAAGTGGATAGAGTAAATAAGAGAGAGAACAGAGTAGATAGAAGTTACCCTAAATGTGTCCCATGAGTGGGTATTTGTACTAGTGGATGTCGGAGTGAGGATAATTAATGCCTTGTCGGGCGTCCAAGGTCGCATAAGGACCTGTTCTCAGGAGGCTGTCAGGATCGTACATTTGTCAGCCTTCGTACTGAGGTGTCAGGCCAACGTTATTTCCAAATGTCGGGCGGTTACCTAGGAATCCGATCAGACGATGTCGGGCGGTTCTTCCTGGTCAGAGGCGCGAAAGACCGCCTTTGGACCACTGTCCGATGTATTTCGGGCCCATTTGGGTTGGGCTTGTTCGCCTTTTGGGCCTCTTGGTGTTTATGGGCTTGGCGGCCCATGTGTCTTAATGATTGGCCCAACAATACTTAAATATAATATATCAATAAGTACTCACATTTAAATACAACATTTAATGTCTACATTAATCAAGACGAAGGTGGGGAAGATAGTGGTTCATTTTTCAGGATGATGTTCAATTATTTTTTTTTGCTTCAAGGTGTTTTTTCAAACCGTGGCAATGCGAGATTGGGTCTTTTCGAAAGCCAGTGTTAAGAAGAGTGGATACCGCACGATTCATGTGGGAAGAGGGAGGAATCGACGAGGTCATTTTCTTCAAATCTATGAACTGACAAGAAAAGGCAAAATCTTCAAGATGTTGATCCCCCTTCCGAACTCTACCGCTTGTTGGGCGTTGACTTTGCTTTTAAAAGATTTCATTAAGTTAGAAAGGGTTGCTAGAAGCGACCAGAGTTGTTCTCCTCTTGAGAGCCTCCCCATTCTCTGTTTGTCGCTAAAGATCGATCCTTTGCCGATGTTGTTAGATATCATAGGCTCTATGGCGCTGGTTGATGTTCCATCAATTGGGCAGGGTGTGAGAAATTAATCAAAGTGGGAGACAAGGGAGTCAATGAATGTCTAGACCTTCTGGGAAGAAGTCTAGTTCTCGAATTCTCTTCGTCAATCTCGAGCTCTTTCACGTCCAACTTGGTTCCAGATTTAGGAAATGGGTGAAAAAATTCTGGGTAATTGACGACAATTATGACTTCAAGCATCTCTCTTATGAAAAATGGCTTCTCATTTGCTCGAGAGTCATCGATGCTCTTCAGATTGAGCTTATTGACCATGCAAAGTTCCAAAATTTCTCTATCTCTATCTCGTCCTGGGAAGCAAATTCTTGTCTCTCTAGGTCTGCTCCTCCTTGTGACCTTTGTATCTTTGTTTCAGAACTCCTTTTCACTTAAAAAGTGTTGGCATTCTCAAAGCTATCGGTGTATATTGCGGCAAATTTCTAGAGATCGACTGAAATTCTTGGAATTCTCTCATGGTGAGGATCAGGATCAAGGCTTCAATGGCTATCCTGGATGAAATTTCGATCTGCTTTGGGAACAATATTTTTCTGGTAAAAGTGATTGTCGACCCACTTCTTAGTTTGCCATTGGTCGGCAAGCACGCTGACTGATTGGCGGGATGGAAGGCAAAAGATCGATGGGTTGAATTTCCTCGAGAGTCTCTTGAGCCTCGTTGCATGGAGAGGCCTGTCACTCTCCTCAATTGTCCATCGTCTCAGCTCCCCGTCTATTCTAGGGCTGAGCAAACGTCCCATGGCGAGCCTCGACTAAAGAGAGTGTGGGTGGCTAAAAAACCTAGCTCTTTTAGTGCTAGGTTTAATAATATTCTCTCTCATTCTTTAGTTGGGTCTGAGGCCCACGATTGGGTTGGTCCTTATGTGACTTCTAGTTGGGCCTCTTGTGGTCAGCCTGTCCCTGGGACTCTCTTTTCACTCTCTGTCTAGGCTCCGGGTTCTTCTAGAATTAGTTTCTCTTCCCTGGTGGGCTTGATGTCCCGCTTTCTTTCCCTCTTCTACCCCCCTTCCCTCCCCTTCAATCTCTCTTCGTGATCTCCATTCACCTCTATCAAGATAAACTAAACACATTATTCAACCTCATCTTTTCCTTTTCTCGGTCCAGCTTTATCCTTCACACCTATTCTCGTTCCTCTCCTTCTCCTAATCTCCGAGCTCTTTCCTTCCATCACTTGCTCCCCTCAATCTCGACAGGTGACCCTTTGGGTTCACCTTCTCCTAGTTCTTGTCCCAATTATGACTCATTCCTTAGCTCGGCATCACTTGATTTTGATTTTTTCATCATCTTGCCCCTTCACACTGATAACCTTTTGATCGAACCTGACCTTCCTTCTCCTCCCTCATTCTTCCCCAACCCCTTTGTATTCCTCTTTCTATTGTCTCGGTTTCTATCCCGGCCCCTTTAGAGATATCTACCCCTCTCTCCCCATCCATTGTCTCCCCCATTTCCCAATCCTCTCTACCCATTTCGGCCTCCATTCTCCCAATTTGACATATCCCTAATTGCCATCGTCCTTGAATTTTTCTTCAAACTTTAATTTGGGGTGGGATTTTGACTCCTATCCTTTTGACATTTCTCCTCTTATTCACACAAGTTCGGAGGTTGGTCGCCTAATTACTCTTGAACATGAGGAGGGATATGAACAAGTTTACAATGTTATGCTTTTGAAGGCCTAGACTATCCACCCTTGATCTAAACTTAAGATGGAGACTCGAAGGCTCGGTCTAGTGAGTGATCTACCGACGAGGCCAAGAATTCGCAGACCTAAAGGAAGTGGGATCTTCTTTAGTAAGCTTTAATGTGTGTATCTTTATTCATATGAAATGTTTGGGGCATCAGAGACCCAGATAAAAGAGCAAGAATGAAAAATTATTGGCAGAAGAAATCCTTCAATCTTTAGGCTTGTGGAAGCCAAATGGTCTATTTGCTCTGACTTCTTGGTTAACAATATTAGTGGTAACAGAGATGCAGGTGGCTCGCTAAAACAAAACTCCTAACGATGACTAAGTGTAACCAATGAAAGGGACAACTCCTAATTGGCGAATTTGTAGGTTCAGTTTCTACTGGATGCACGCAATGGGACCTCCAATAAGTGGGTTGCGGGTTGGGTTTTACAGGATGCATGCATCGGACTTTGTGGTGGGAGTTGTTGCATCTTTGTATGATGGCTTCTTTGATCCTTTCCTAGTGGAGTTGCTTTATCTAAGAGATGCAATTTGTTAATGCCTAGCTTGGAGATTATTGCCCATGGTAGTTGTGAATGGTGTTAAGATGGTTGTGGAACGGCTCCAGGAGCAATAATGGACTCATGTTTTTAGGAGGTATGATTTAGATGATATTAAAGATTTGCGAGAGAATTTTGAGCATTTGGAGGTTAGGTTATTGGGTCATCATCATAGGCGGAGGCAGCCCAATTGGGCATTGTCCTGGGACAAGGGTAAATTTTGGGAAAAACAAAAATACTCCATATATGTTTATACGAAGGATGGAACACAACACCCAGTACAACGTATGTGTTACTATATCACAACTCATTATTTGATTATAAATTGACATTAAATTAATTTATTATATAATAAACGCAATCTCAATTGCAATAGACGATCTCTTTTCTTTATATGCCTATTCAATTATTTACCGAGCAATCTTGAAGCAGTCTAGTGGCAGCGCCGATTCTACTAGTTTTGACGGCGAGTGTAGATAAATTTTTTTCAATTTTGAGTTATATCAGGAATGAACTTCGAAGTCGAACTCACGACCAGTTTGCTAATGGTTGTTTAGTGAGATCCATTGAAATGACATACTTAGGAGTGCAGACAATGAATGTATTTTGTGTTTCTTTCGGAATATGAAAACTCGTCATGGTTGTTTATGAAAATACCGATTGTATTAGTCGTTATTTTTTATATATGAAAATAAATTATTTAGATACTATTAATAATTTAATTATATTCAGTAAATATTTATATATTTATAATACGAAAATAGGACAGGGGTAATTTGAAATCCTGCCTCCACCACTGGTTATCATTATAATAGGGTTGTCCATTTGGTGGCACGAAAAGCCCTTTCATTGTTCCCTTCTTTGGTGGTTGTTTGATTTTGTTTCCTCGCTATTTTGGACCTCCTAACATTTTTGTATCTGGCTGTTTCTTATGCAATACCAATGATCTCTTAGAAAAAGATGACAACATAAATATTGAAATTACACATAACACTATTGTTGTGAACGGAAAAAAAAAGAGGGTTCGGGGCAAAAAAAAAAAAAAAAAAGAGACACAATTTTCACAGTTGTGTGAAGATCCAAATAAACTCAAACTACATATCGTATCATCATTTCGTGATCCATGTGTAATCCCTAATGATCTTACACCTTCTTCAAAGCAGCTAGCTAGAGAGACCACGATCGATGACATAAAATACACTGTGGGTTAGTTTTGTGTTTTGGATAAAACGAACTTTACAGCTAGCTAGGTTCTTGCACTCTGTACGTACTTAACAAGTTGATGATCATGACCAGTTAATTATGTCGGAGTCCATATTGAATGGTTGCTCCTCGTCCGGCTGTGGTGCCATCAGTTGTTGTTGTTGTTGAGGCGCCGTTTCCAAAACCCTAGAAGAAGACGACGAAGATGCTTGGAAACTCGCACCCAACTGATGGTGATCATGGCTCAGCATGGAATTATAGTCCGCGGCGGCGGCGGCTTCTCTCTGTTGGTAATTCCTAAGCTGCATTGCCTTGAGAAGCAAGTTATTCACGGCGAGGTTGGAGGCGCCGCCGAGCAAGTTAGAAGCGGCAGCGGGCCACGGGAGGAGGAGTGATGAGTTGAGCAGCAGCGACGACGACGACGACGGAGCTTGGTTCATGTGTAGGAGAGTATTGTTATTATTGTTTTGGTGATGAAGATCGTGAATGTTGATGGCGGTGTGGTGGTGGTGGTGGTAGTTAGCTGAGACGACGTCGTCGTTGTAGCCGCCGCCGCCGCCGTTTAGGTTGGAGAATTCCAAGTCTCCGAAGTGATCAATGTTGTTGTTGTTGTTGTTGGCGATGGAGTTCGTGTCGTCGTAGGATTGTTGGGATGATGATGTCAGCTGTGGTTTCTTGAGTGATGAGGTCTTTTGGAATATCCTACAAACCACCCATTCCTCCTGCATGCACCAACGTGACCAAAACTTGAAGGGACGTACGTATAATTAAGTTCTTGAATTTATATATAGTGCAATCTAACATCCAACATTGTTGTGAAACTAATTAAGTTTTATCTCATAATAATATGTGGGGGAAATAATAACATCCAACTTCAGGGACACTCATATTTCTGAAAGACTATTACTGGAAAATGATTAAATTTTATGATGATCTCTTCAAGATTGACAAGTTAAGACATTATTATACACCTAAAGAGACGATAACTTTTTGGCCGACTGTTTATTGGTTCATAGAGTCTTTGTCCTTTCAAATACATTTTTGTCTTAGTTTTAAAAAATTAAAAAATAAATAATTTTATATATGAATTTAATAACAAATGGGTCCATAGCTCAGTGGTAGAGCATTTGACTGCAGATCAAGAGGTCATCGGTTCGAACCCGGTTGGGCCCTATCTTTTTACTTTGTTTTAAAACTCTTTTATGTTATTTAAAAAGGAAGATAATTAATTTAATATTTTTATCATTAAATAAAAAATTACCATACTAAAAGCTATATTGCCCCAATGTAAAAATAAAAAATTACCATACTAAAAGCTATATTGCCCTAATATACATTGATTTTATCAAAAGTAAAATAAAAATTCAACTGTGGCCATGAGTTTGGACCTTCAAAATTTATCAACATACGAGTCAATTGGCAATCGACGGCCTGAGGGAAAAAAAAATAGATGGATACCTTGGCGGATTTGTATCGATGTTTGTTCTCGAGCCGATACTCATGCATGACCCAGTTGCTCTTCTCCCCTCTGGGAGCTCTACCTTTGTAGAAAACCAGGGTTTTCTTCATCCCCACAAGAGCCCCCGACGTTGCAGAGAAGATCTCCTTGTCCTTCCCCGTCGTCTTCCAGTACCCAGCCTCCGTTGCCCGGTTGGTTCGCAACCCGGTCGGGTACTTCCTGTCTCTCAAGCTGAAGAAGTACCATTCCTTCTCCCCCATTGACGCTTTCCCTAGTCCACACCAAGTAATTAACCAAACAAACGGCAGAAAATTAAGTAACAACCCAACCAAAAAGGATTGATTTCATCTTTTCAGGGATTTGTCCTATTGAGTTTAGTGATTGACAAGGTTTTGGTTCAGCTTCAACAATCAAGCAACCTGTTATGCCAAATGACATTCAGCCAAGCAAATTATAGCACATGTCAAGATATAGGTAGCTTTTGGTTCACTTTATGTGCTTAGCTTTATGAAAAAGAGTCTGGGAAATGTTTGTTTAATTATTATATATATAAAAACCAAGTTGTTGCACCCTCTCCCTTCAAATCAATAAATAATAAGATATATATGTGTAGTTAATCAAAGTCGACTGCTTGTGTTTCAAGGAACTGGTAAGTCGACAAAACCGAGGTTGATACCTTCTTTTGAAAAAAGTTGGAAAAAATATCAATCATTTTAGATGAACTCAAAAGTAGCTTGGAAATTACTCCAACTTGCATGGACCAAAAAAGAAACACGGTCCATTTCTTATCGATTTCAACCTCAGTAAGTGGATGATAATTCGATTTATCATAAAACTTCTTGGTTCATCAGATCAAATGCTACAACATCGTAACAGGAACCGATTTATCTCGATAAATCTAATCGCGCGTGTTTGAGAGAATTTAGGGATGTATGTATGTATACCTGGGAGATCCCAAGGCTCGTTCTTGTTGAGATCGACAGCAACAATGGCTTTGCAAGTGAAACTCGTGTCGGCGATCTTGTGAGTGAGATAGAAGGAGACGAGCTCGTCATCAGTCGGATGGAATCTGAACCCTGGAGGAAGACTTTCCTCCGCCATTGAAGATCCTGCTTCTGCCGCTGAAGCAAAAAAAGGAAACAAAGAAAGAAGAAACACAGTAGTGATCGAGAGGGCGAAGATCCAAACCCTAGCAAGCAGCTACTGGTTTCTTATAATGATGGTGGGGAAGAAAAGGAAGGGCAAGAGAGGTGTGTTTGTGAGATTTATCTACTAATTAAATAACATACACATCACTCTTGAAGAAGAAGGCATAACCCCTACTTATATGCTTAATTACCTATTATTATTATTATTTAATTTTGCTGATTTGTCGGTTTTTTGTTGGGGTTTTTAATCCTGATAATTACAGCTAACACGTTGACAAAGATTGGTGCTTTGCCAGGAAATTAAATTTTTTTTTTGAGGAATTGCCAGGAAATTAATTAGTCTGATGGCGCCAAGACTAATTTACCAAAGAATGCCACTCTCCATCAAGACTTTTGTTCTTCTTGGTGGCTCGGGTTTGAAGGAGAGCTAGTAGCTACACACGTAAACCGAAAACGACAGTGAGTGGGGCGGAAAATATAATGAAATGAAATCTTTGATCAAATTTTACTGAAAAGGGACCAATCTAATATTTGATTTAGAAGTAAAATTAATAAATATAAATCTATAATAATAACCCTCAAGTATCGGTTCCTATTAGATCTTCTTTGATTCATCAAACAGAAGCAGATCCGAAGTCCACAAAATGATGGGTACAAAATTGAAGTACAATCACCCGAATCTGGATATTGAAACCAGGATCTGATACCACTTGTTGAAATGGAATAGTCCCTATTAGTATGATGGTGTTCACTAGCTTTGAGTCAAGTCGGACATCACAGATTGGCTCTTATGTAACTTCTGATCAAAAGGCCTCGTTTTAATGAGGCTACATGGAATAAACTTATACACAATGATTCTTTTTCTTTATATTTCCAATATGGTACTTGGATTACGTACCTAAATATCATCCACTCGAGTACTCAATGACCACAAACTTCATGTCTTCGCCTTAATGATTATCTTGATCCACCCAAACCATATTATTATATCACTATACTTTTCGACAAAACAAATTACAAGATGATGATCTTTGTGTGATCCACCAAATAGAAGCTTAACTCAAATCCCGAAACCACCGAACGAGAGGGTCCCACTAAACTAAAGTCCATCATCCATAATACGAAACCATACTATAGTACCACTTGTAGAGTCTGAACATTTCTCATCATCGGTATGATATTGTTCGTTTTGTCGTAAACTCCGCGTGAATCTGCTAACTCTTAGCTCTTATTAACACCTAGATGGACACTTATATACAGGTATCCTTCTTCTGATCATATTGTATTTAGATTGTAGGTTAGGTCTTTAACTCTCATATTGAACATCAAAGATGGTTGTAGCCATTGTAAAGTACACATAGCTATGTAAACAAAATGGTAAATGATTTTGGGAAGAGATGATTGAGTGCATGTTTACACCATGGAAAGGTTCTCTTTTAGATTTGGTTGGGTAATAATATTGTAAGATCCTGTCCAACCACCTTCACCCATTTCTACCCACTCCCAACTCCAACACCGGCCCAGTCACTCAGTTTCCCCCAATGATATTCCACTAATCTCCTCCCTTAATTCTCTCGTGAATGTAATAATAAACATGATTAAGAATACATGAACAGTACCACAATTCAACGCTAAGCTATATGATGATAATTTAATCAGTTTTTTTTTTATTTGGTTAATTAGTTTCCGTGTTTGAGGCATCAAATCTACACTTGACTCTCTTTTAATTAAATTTCCGGCAACAATTCCACACTGTTTCCTCCTTATTTTACAAATTAAGAATTAATTTATACAGGCGGCTGCTGAGTTTGATTAATTATATTCTAGAAAACAAAGAAGTTTAATATACTGGATAAAAACGCCGGTCCTGCTGCTTACAAATAGATACATTGAATATTCTTTCATTAGAGAAACATATATATATTGAAACAAGGATTAAATAGGTTTAACATACCATTATTTTTTTCTGAGATTAGAAATGTAAGATATTTCTCCATTCTGATTAAGTTTTCCAACAAATAAAACCAGTGCATGAGGACGTACATTCTAACCAGCCTATATTAATTATTCATCAGAGTATTTATGGCGTTATATTGTGAGTAAACGGTATAAAACTCGTAATTGAATCGGTTAGAATCAAAGGCGGTTCTTGACACGCGGTATTAGAGTTTTCAATAATCGGAATGTCTTGTGTTTGAATTTCAAATACGTCATTTGGTAAGTATTTGTACTTGATATTCGAACATTTGCAAACTTCAAGTTCACAAGTGGGCTTTTATTATTTGAGAGGTCGTTTTGGTAAAGGATTTAAGATCCATGATTGAATATCTGTCAACTACTCGAGTTATTTGAATCAGCATGTTATTGACACCGATTCTCTTAATCTCAAGGTTAAACTAAAGTCAAAGTTCCTTCGTTGAATTTGATAGTTACATACACGTGCATGCATGGCCCCTGTTCCGATACTGAAGATGGCTGACACATACATATATATCATTAATTGTACAAATTGTTATCAAAGATATTTTCGAAAGGAAATTAATAGCTAGATATACCAACTCTTAACTCTTTTTAGACAATTGTCAAAAGATAAATAAGAGAAAGGGACGATGGTTGATAAATTTGAGTTACATTTAATTTCTTGATTTCAAATTTCTCCAATTTTACACATTTGTTCGATTATTCGAATGGATCGTTATAGGCGGTGTATATATATTTTCTTCCTCTCAAAAGATATTTGTATTATCAAGAGATCAAAGATACACTCTTTTAGAAAGCGAGAAAACACCACAGGAACGGAAATCCTACTCCGTAACAAGTGAAAAGAGCGAACGAAATGACTTCTTTTTACTACGCGACGAGCCACCCTACCATAGTCACGACCAATGAAACCGTCAAGAATGAAAATTTAAATTTCACAAGAGAGGAAGTTAACGAAACACAGTTTTGTAAGCTATATAGTGCGTATTAATAGTTATGTATGCGTATTATTTGTTACGTGTGTGAATGTGATCAAGTGAAAGGAATTTTAAGACGGTGGTGATGATGCTGAGCAAGGGAGTATGTAAATAGAGTGGTTAAAGGGGCCACCAAACCACACGACTGCAACATTTGGCAGCCATTCTTCTTCTTCTTCCTTATTGGCATCTCCCTCTCTCTCTTTACCTCTGACTTTGTCCCGATTTCCCTCATTTTCAATCCTACTACTGCAACTGCAACTCCACATTTCCTCTACTACGTATACGAATTGTGTTGGTCAAGTGTGATTCTTTGTGGGATGGACCTTCTAGAAAGAAAACCCTTTTTCCCCCAAAAAATTCAGCCACAAGCTATATACCAAATGTGTGTGGTCGTCATCCATTCGAAAACCCTAGCTAGGAAGAAATACAATGCAATCTATAGACTTGAAATTTGAGCAAATTCACCTACCATGTGCTACCGATTAATGTTGGAGAGTCTAAGGACTTTAACGCGTCACCTTAAAGACAAACCAACTCTGATACGTACTATATCATGAGTCAACTAGTTCCAATAATTCGAAATTGTTGAGAGAAAGTGTATTAACCACTGTCTTAGGAGCGATATGATAGCAGAGTTTTCTTCCTTTTGTTAGTAAATGGTATATGATTCACGACTGAACATCTCTCAACAACTCGAGGTTATTGTGATCAACTGGGTTTTTTTACACGGGATCAGAGCCTTTTGTGACAGAAAGGTTTCGCGTTCGGGATCCGATGACCCACATCTGTTATGTTAAGCGCACATGGCGTGTCCGGACCTGTGCAAATTTCAAGCCCATATATATGATTGCTTTCGTTTGAGGGGTTGCGTTAGTAAGTGGTATATAGTTCACGATTGAATCTTTTTCATGGGTTTTTTTTTTTCGAGGAATATTAGAGGAAAGAAATTTGTGCAATACTCTTCCTGTATAAGTATAAGCATGATTCGTCTTTATCCATTGGCATATATATGATGATAATGTTAATTAACTGGCCGGGTTGGTAAGAAGATATATAGTGAAAGGATCGTTTTAGCTTAGCAACTATTTGGAGATACTTCCACACGCATACAGCCAGCCTTTTCCCAAGCTCCCTTCATCATTACATTACTACTGCTGCAAACGTGCAACTTCTCAATGAGGTTTCGAGCTCATTTTCACACATTTAAGCACATTAAGAAATACTCTAATTACAGATTAGAAGGTAGAGCAACTACAATTGATTAATTAATTAGTATTAATATAATGGGCTATAATATTAATATTAATATTAATATTAATATATATGATGCAGTGCTGGTACTGCATTCTGCTAGCTAGCTGGGCCAATGGGAGCTCACGACTCTAGTCGACTCGGTAAAACTAACGTCATCTCTCGCTTTCGTTGGTTTGGAAATTTGCGAAGCGTTTTCTCTAAATTTAATTTGGGTGTTTGTGGCACAACAAACAAACAACAGTGGCACAAAAACGATGACATAGTTTGGCAGCCGGCAGGAAGAGGCGACCACAGAAATGTTTGGTTGGGCTTCAGAATTAGAATTCTCTTAGACTGAGCCCAAAAGCATTTGATAATGGACTATAAACAGACGGGCAACATTAGGCTAGGCCCGCCTTATACCTACTCTTTTGGGCCTGCATTCCAACACCCGATTGGGCTTATGCCGCAACTACTGCGGTGCAATATATATGCGTGGCAGGGGAACCATTATTCGAGGATCGATTGGATCATACATGTTATTCCTGAGAATCTCGATCAATCAAATCCAGGGATATGAGAGTTAACTCATGATTTCATATAGATAGACGATGTTATACTTCGAGAGTTCGTCTACAACTTTGCGACTTTGTTTCCTTCGTAATAGGTGGAGGTGGAGCTAGAGTGTTAGGGGAGGGTACTAGGGATCCACTTTGTATTGGGAGTAAAATTGGTAAATTAGGTATAGTAATTAATGGAGAATAAAAATTATGGGACATTTGATTAATAACCGTTGGCCCTG